TGGGCATTTTCTAGATTGACAGTGTCTCTATTGAAATGGAGTGACTGCTGGATTGTGAACTGTGGGGGCAGAGAGCATGTCTGTCTTGTCCACCATTCTCTTTCTAGTGCCTGGCACTGCCCTGGTAGCCTCTTAATAAAATTTTTTAAAAATAAGTGAACTGAAAAAACAAAAGGGCCTTTGGGGCCATAACACTCCCTCAAATATTATCTCTTCTGGGGTAGGAAGTAGGTTTTTTCTACATACCAGGGAGTCTGGGTTATCATAATAAAAATTAACTGACTATAGTTGGCTGGTGAGGGAATTATGGGAACCCTTTGGGCCCCTGCTGGGTGGAGTGCTGGGGTAAAGTAAAGCTTATTGTGTCATTGGTTTGGATGAGAAATCAGCCCTGAATCCTTTTCAGTATGTGCACTTGGGGATTTCCTAAGAGCAGAGATAGGTACCATCTCAGCACTTCTTTCTCTGTATTCAGCTATATGATTCTCCAGTGCACCCAGCCTCTCCCCAAAGTCAGCTGGAGCATCATTGCTGCTTCCAGGGGAGCAGGAGGGCATCAGAGATTACGACGCCCATTTGCTTATCTGTAAAATGACCTACCTCATGCGGCCATTGGGAGTTATAAGGAGATAATGTATGTAAAGTACATCTCACAGTGCCTGGCATAGAATCATTGTTCATTAGATGTTAGCTTTTATTTTCCAAGTGGTTTGGCAGTAATCAAGTATGAGCATGTGACTGCCTTTAGATGCATGCAGTAGCCTTCCACACTTGACCTCTCGGTCTTCCACGTTTGATCTCTTTTAGTGAGACCTCTGGTGTCCCAGGCATCATGCTGTGTGCAGCAGCCTAGTGTCACCAGGTTACTGGAGACAACTTAGAATCTTGAAGGCAGTATTTGTAATTAACCTGTTCTTCCTCAAGTGTTCCCTGGTGCCACTTTCAGAGCTAGAACATGGGCCTGAAAGGACCGCTATTCTCATAGATGTGGAAATTCTTGATCATTCTTTTCTTTTTAATTGAAGTGTAGTTGATTTACAGTGTTGTGTTAGTTTCTGGTGTACAGCATAGTGATTCAGTCATGTATATTCTTTTTCATTATGGATTATTACAAGCTATTGAGTTTAGTTCCCTGTGATACGGTAGGCCCTTGTTTATCTATTTTTATGTATAGTAGTTTGTATCTACTAACCTCAAACTCCTGATTTATCCCACCCCTCCTCCGTTCCCCTTTGGTAACTGTAAGTTTGTTTTTGATGTCTATGAGACTGTTTCTGTTTTCTAAATAAGTTCATTTGTCTCATTTTCTTAGATTCCACATGTAAGTGGTATCATGTGATATTTGTCTTTCACTGACTTACTTTGCTTAGTATGATAATCTCCAAGTTGCTGCAAATGGCATTATTTCATTCTTTTTTATAGCTGAGTAGTATTCCATTGTGTATATATACCACAACTTCTTTATCCAATCATCTGTCCAATCATCTGTCCATGGATATTTACATTGCTTCCATGTTTTGGCTATTGTAAATAGTGCTTCTATGAATATTGGGGTGCATATATCTTTTTGAACTGGGGATTTATCCAGGTATATGTCCAGGTATGGGATTGTTAGATCATATGGTAACTCTATTTTTCATTTTTTAAGGACACTCTATACTGTTTTCTCTTGGTCATTCTTTTTTTTTTTAATGTGATGTACTATTTTTCGCAAGTTGCCTTTTTTAATTTTTCTGGGGGAGGGGAAAGTAATTAGGTTTGTTTATTTATTCATTATTTATTTACTTTAATTGAGGTTCTGGGGATTGAACCCAAGACCTCATGCATCCTAACCACACACTCTACCACTGAGCTATACCCTCCCCTACTCTTAGTCATTCTTGACATCACTTATGAAGGCCCTTAAAAGGTCAACAATGTATCATTTGTTCTTTTCTGGAGAATTGGTCTCTACTCTTACTTGCCTGGCATACAATGGGCTCTCAACCAATTCTTGTATTCATGAATGAATGTGTAGTGAGGTCAGCCCTTGCTTTTTCAAGGTATTTCTAGAAGAATTCCTTTGGACAAAACCAGCCAAGAATAGATATTATTTGTAATGGACGTGAAAGAAAAACATGCATGGCAGTCACAAAACTATCACCTCACCTAAGGAAAGGAGGAAAGAAAAAAGAAATACAGAAAAAAGAAAGAAATTTTGCATTTTCTTTTGGACATGAATCTTTCTGGAACTCCATATTTAAAGAACTGCTAGACAGCTATCAAAAAACGAATTGGGGTATGGCCTGTGGGGAGGAACTGCTCGATGCTTACAATGGATGGGGTCAAATTTGCATTGAAATTGGTCAGCTGACCAAATCTCAGCCTCTTCCTGTTAATACGTGCTGACCCTCTTTACCTCCACATCTTTCCTTTTCAAACAGAGACTTCTTGAGCTTCAGAACTACACTCTTACCTTAATTTTAATCTTTGTTTCTTCACAATCTTAGCTTCTCCATAACGGCAGACATAGCTTCAAATTCTGCAATTTCTTGTCCTTTTCTTCATCCATTGCAGGTAACAAGGCACTCATCCTGCAGTGGGTGGTGGGATAATGAAAAAATGTTGTCCCAAACAGAGGAAGGGATGCGCTCTCTCTCCCCCTCCCTCCCTTCTCCCCTCCCTTTCTTTCTCCCTTTCAATGTCTGTCTGTCTCTCTCATTTTTTTCTTAACAACATTTTTGTAGCAGAATGAATCATCGAATTTAACACTGGTGAAAAGAAAGTCATGAACAGGAAGAGGGGTGTGAAGAGGAAGGTGGCTGGGACAGGAGGTTAGAAAGTGCACATCTGCTCCCACTGGAGGATTACAGGATGAAACTACTTCCCTTTGTTGTGCCTTCTGGGGCACCACGTGGGGACTACCATTGTCCCAATACTGTACGAAGCTAGTCCACATCCATTAGGATAAGCCCAGAAGTGAGAAGGGACCCAGGAGCTCGCAGGTGATGCCCATGCACTTGGGATTCAGGAACAGAGGAGTAATGCATCTCAGTAAACAGCCTATTGACCACCAAGGAGTCAAGTCAAATTGCGGTCTCTCCTCTCATCTCTCCCCATCGCTGCGTTATTACTGGACTGCATTTGTTCTCTTTGCCTCCACTCCTTCCAGAATCAATAGCCAACAGTGATTCCCTCTGACCAGTGTGAATTATACACAGGCATGATGGGGGCCTGTGGCAAGTGGGCAGGCAGTTCCCAGGCTGCCTGTCCCCAGGGTACGTTCATTGCTCCAACCCTCTTCGGGGCCAGTGGGCTGGGTAATGTGACCTCGGAGCCTGGGAAGGGGTGGCGTGTGTGCTAGTTAGCAGGGAGACACAGATCTGTCTCTCCAGGCCTGCAGAATCCGGGAGGGGAAAAAAAATGAAACCAGGAAGTATGAGTGTTGCCTTACGGAAGCAGAGAAGCTATTTCCTCTTTGCTTTCACCTGAGCTTTGTCCGTGGGCATCCGTCTTTCTTATCTCAACCCTGAGTGTCGATAGTCTGGACACTAATGTCAAGCAGACTTTGGTTCAAGTCCAGGTTCTGTTTCTTATTGATTGTGTGAACTTGGCAAGTTACTTAAACTCCCAAGACACACGTTCTTCATTTACTATTAAAAATACTGCACTGGCTTGTCATAGGGATTAAATGAGATGAAATATTTCATGTACATGCTTAATACAATTCCTGGTAAGTTCTCAGTAAATGATAGTCATTTACATTGTTATCCTGTGTAACTTTCTTCCTTGTATTATTTTTAAGGTTTTTTTTTCTCCTATGGATAAGGTTCTAGGAGAGCAAGATGTAGAAAGTGGGACTTTTTATGTGTCAAGAAAATAAGATGAATACATTGAAGATGTTTGTGTTTATTTCTTCTGCAAAAATAAGCTTTTCTCTTCAATTATGGCACTAAAAGTTACAATTTAACCTCCAGAGGTCCCCCTGCTGAGGTTTTGACTTTGGGTGTACTCCTTGACTTTGATCTGGGGCCCACTGCCCTTTGGGAACAGTGCTCTTGACATGTACCCAGGCAGAGGACCAGAGTCAGACAGCTGGATGTACAGGTATGAGTCTCAGGAGGAAGGACTGGGCTGGAAACCTCTATTTAGGAATTCATCAGTGTGTGACCTAAATCATGACTGCAAGTGAGAGTGCACAGGGAGGCTGTGTAGTGGGAGCAGGACCACAGTGCAGTCATGGGAGGGGTGGGTGCACCAATGTTTCAGAGATCTTTGGGGAATAAAGATCCATTGACGGAAAGGGAGGCAGAGCACTCAGAAAGGGAGAAAAAACTGGAGAGGGAAATGTCCTGGTCTCTGAGATCAGTGGAACAATGACACCCAAGGATGTCCACATCCTAGTCTCATAACTTGTGAATCGGTTTCCTTATGTGGCAAAAGGGACTTTGCATATGTGATGAAGTTAACGATTTGGAGATGGAGAGATTCTTCTGGGTGTCAGTGTAATCATAAGGAAGGGAGGAGGCAGGAGGATGAGAAAAAGAGATGTGACAATGGAAGCAGAGTCAGTGTGATGAAGTTGCTGGCTTTGAGCTGGAAAGGGGCCACCGACCAAGGAACGTGTCCAGCCTCTAGAAGCTGGAATAGACAAGGAATGGATTCTCTCTAGAACTTCCAGAGGGAACTGGCTGACACCTTTGTTTTAGCAAAGTGAGGCTCTGGCCTCAAGATAATGAATGTTTATTAATAAATTAGGATATACATTTGGATTGCCTAAGCCCCTAAGTTTGTGGTAATTTGTTATAGCATCAGAAGGAAATTAATACAGTCCCTAAGGGAATAAAGTGGTCAGTGGTGGAAAGAGCAGTCCGCTGTGTCAACCAAGTGCGCAGTTGGCAGCAGAATCAGTGTCACCCTAAGTAAAGGTAGCTCATATATTTTCCAAAGGGGATGGAGATGCGGGTTTGAGGACCAGGCTCAGGATGAAGAATGGGGCCTCATTTACCTGGGATATGAGCATGAGCCGGGCCAGAAGAGGTATGGACATGGCTCACGCCTACCCCCTGGGGTAAGCCAGGCTCTGTGGCAGTCAACCCAGCTGCAGGGACTGCAGGGGCAGATGAAAGAAGAGTGGGGCCATCTTTAATTGCTGCAGGTAGCACTGGCAGATGGGCAGTGAGCAGTAATGGGGCTCCCGCCAAGGGGGAGGGGCACGCCTAGTTGGACAGTCCTGTAGACTCTTGCCACTGAGAATACCTCTCAGTAAGAAACAGACCAAATCACTGACTAGGTTCGGGTTCAAGTTTAAGGCTTTAGTCCAAAATGGGGTCTGGAATATGACATAGGTTTCCAGGAGCTGGACTAAAGCAGAAAATAATTGAAAAGGTAAGATTCCCAGATAGATAATAGTTTGGGTGAAGTAGGTGATTGTCTAGGTTTCAGGACAGGCTCTGGAGAAAGGGAGCAGAGGGGTCAAGACATGGGAATCAGAGCTGGGTGTTCAGTTCTGTTCTACTTCCTGCTCCAGCTCAGGCCTGGGGTTGGCAGGAGGGCAGCCAACAGACTGTGGCATAGTTTGGCGCCAGGCAGCTTGTGTCAGAGAGGTAGAAATGAGGCTGAGACTGGGCTGGACAGTCCCCAGGGGCGAAGCTCTGCCTCACCCACGAGTTCTTCCCGTAGACATGGTCGAGGCCTCCAGGCTGAGGACAGAGCAGATGAGAAGGTGAAGGCAGGGACGGGGGAAGGTGAGTGCGTGAACGTTCACTGAAAGGAATGCCCACTACTCTTGTCACGGCCCTTTTTCAAATGCGGTGAAGATGCTGAGGCTCCGCAAGAGGTGACTGGTACCTGGAGTCCTACCAAGCAGCTGCACAGCAGAGGCAGACAAGGCTGGGGTCTCTGAGCTCGCTGCCTTGGGCTCCTTTCCCTGCACAGCCAGCCCTCCAGACAGGGCCAGAGCATGATTTGCACTTGGCCTGGACCCACGTGTGCATATTTTGCAAGGATCCTACAATCTGAGCTCCCCTTTGGCAGGGAAAATTCTGTTGGTTTGAACACCTAAGACCTATTGGACTCTAGGATTGGTAAAGCTATTGCCTTTTCCATATTGGTGATGAGTCCACCGGCCTGGGGAGGAGGTGGAGAGAGACTGGTAAGAAAGCTAACGGATTCCATATGGATATAGGATTTTTGTGTTGTCTTTCCCTTTCATTTTACAATGAGATGTCTTCCCATGGAATATTTCTGCGATGAAAACCTCTCCAAAGAAGAAATCGCTCATTACCACAGATGGCAGAGTGAGATGTAAGAGTAAATGAATCTGAAAACCAATATTTGCTGAGGAGCTGTGGTTGTGCACTGAGGTATACAGGGAGAGGGGACACGGCCAAGTCATTTATACGCTGTTAACAATCAGGTGCGCCTGGGTCCCTTCCTCAGTTAGATTTGCAGTGGGGCCCAGGTATCCAAAAGTGGTTCCAATGCACATCAAAGACTGAGAACCAGGAAAGTAACGTCTTGCCTGTGACAACTTCACTTTGGGGGGTTTGATTATCCTCAAGTGGCCCCACAGCTCCGTGGCTTCCAGAAATCTCTGCAGGGGCAGGAATCGTGAGACCTGCAGTAGGGGCAGATGTGAGTGAGCCTAGCAGACTTCCCAGCAGAGTCTGAATGCTGCTCCGTTAGTCTCCGTTTGCCTGCGTCCTGAGAAGTCTGGAGTTATGCTCCATTTTCTGGAGAAATGCTGTGAAAGCTTAGTATTCATGAATTTGAGCATTTGAATGTTACCCCTGGCAATGTTCAAAGCCTGTCGCCTGAGTCTTTCCAAGTCCTCTCTTTGCTTACAAGCCCCATGCAGGTTTCACTTCCAGAACAAGCCACCGGCTCTTAGAACGTGTGGTCTGCATTAGTCGGCTGGCTTCCTCTGGTGGGGCTGTGCTGGGCTATCCTTCTTTCTTTCTTATTTTAACTACTTGGCGCAGGAGGGAAGAGGCAGGGTATAGATTTTGGTCTATGATGATCGTGGAGTATTTCCAGATGGTAAGTGTATAATCCCTTTGGTTCTGCTGTGTCTGCCAAGCGAGAGCATAACTAGTGTGCTGCAGAAGAGAACAGACAGCAACACACAAGTGTGACACGGCTCTGCTGCTGTGCTGTGCTTGAGGAGACACGAACACAATGTCATTAGCATGCGTGCCAACCTACATTTTTCTCCCCCTTTGTGTGTAATTTTAAAGGATTTTGAATGGAAGGATAGTTGAGGGGAAAGGGGGAAAATGATTTGACAGAGCAAAAAATATCTGTTAGCAGTGTATTTCCCTGGTTCTAATTCAAGGAGATTTTCTGAAAATCGGTTGATCAGTGAGTAGAGTCATTTTGACGAGAAAGACAAAGGTGAGCTGTTACCCAGGAGAGGTGGTCGGGAAATGAACTCAAGGATCCATTGTCTTCTCGCTCTCCCTTCGTGGTGTTGGCTTGTTTGGGGGGAAACTTTATAAACATTGGGAGGCAATGGGCCACATGCAAAGATATGTGGGAGAGAATAGAGAAGTGAGCATCTGAATGCGGGCCTGCAATAGAAGTTATCTGATCTCTGACCATGGTCGGTCCTGGAATCCTGCGAGGTCTCTTGCGCCCACTACACTTGTAGACCCTCTGGAAGTTGGTGCCCACTGCTTGCTGATGGACTCTCCCCATCCTGGGCTCTGCCTTTCTACCAGACCTCTGATGAATTGCCATTACCAGACATCCCTGCCGCAGGTTGCCACCTGAATGGACTGCCTGTTGCCTACCCCTCTGGCGACCCCCTGCTATTGTTGGTCTGCTTGGCCCTGGGTCTTGATCAGGTCCACACCCAAAAGACAGTCCAAGGCTCCGTCAGCATCCCAAATGCAAGCTTCTTTTGTCTCCTATTCTACCTTCTGTGTGTTTCATTAATGCTTGACCTGTATCATTTCTGGCTATCTTCATGGACAGTCACAAAGCAGTCCTGGGAACTTGAATTTCCATTTTGGAGCCTTGGGTATATTGCTTAACTGCTCTCTGTGTGAGTGACTTCATCCCAAAAAAGGGATGGTGGAAGTGGAAACTTGCACCTTTGCAACTTGGTAGATCACACAGTCAAAAGGCACTTGATAAAAACGGGGATGAGCTGCACTGATGTCTTGGTGTCGTTGGGTCTGTGTTTGCTGTTTCTTTCCAGAGTGTATTTCGCCTCTCTACGATGCAGGCGTCTCCAGCGGGGACTCGAGTTTGTGGTTCAGTCGAGAGAGTGCTTGGGATATTTCCAAAGTATTATGGAAAAGTCATCAAGCATTTTTTTTCTAGCAGAAATACTTCATTCAAACTTTTCACTTCCACTTGCAATATCATAGTCTTTTACATCATAAATCTACTTTTGAGTCATTTATTTTAGCAAAAATTTTCAGGGTCCCTTATCACTTCTGTCCAAATCTTGAGAGCTGTTGTTTGATGGTGAGGGTGGCTCAAGGGCAGGGTTACAACAGGTGTTTCTGGGAAGTGAACATGAGCCAAATTCAACATGAAATACATCGATAAGTTCTCATGTAAGTAGCAAGCCTAGTAAATTTGAAGTTAAAGTACCAACTGCACCCAGTAAATATCTTCTGTGTTTGTTTCTTTTTGGTGGGAGTGAGATGAAGTAATGATGTAAATCACCTGTGCTAAATTCTTTGGCCGACTTAACGGTGTATTTTTAAAATTCTGTTTATATTTTAAACTTAGAGAAATTCACTCTCTCGTATTTTAGCCCACACCTTATGTGAAAATAAAACTGGCAACTTATAGTGTTTATCCCATTAGTATTCAATTATATTTCCCAGATAAACAGCTGGAGGCCATCTCTTCAGTGACAAATGTGTTCGATTTGACTTAATCACCACCACAAGGCACATCATTTACCGGCATTTGCTGTAGTACAATTTTAACAAGTAGGGTGATTCACCCTGGGAGAGGAGAGAAAAAGAATGTAAAACACTGAGAGGCAAAAAAGAGAAGAAAAGGCAAACCTGAAATTAAAAGGTGTTTGTGCCTTTTAAAATTTCTCGCTTTCATTGAACCCATAACCTTCATACAGAAATGTTAGCTATCTTGATTGTGGTGGTGGTTTCATGGGTGTAGACATCTATCAAAATTCATCAAATTGTACATCTGAAATATGTGTACTTTACCATACAGGAATCATACCACAATAAAGGTGTTAAAAAATTTTTTTTCAAGTGCACAAATCAAAAGGGCATATACAGTGCAATGAACTGTCACAGCTTGAACATATCCAGGCCAATGACTAGGACACACAGCAACCCAGAACCACTCTCCCCTATCCTTGGATGTCTTCCTCCCCCAAAGTAACCAACATCTCCTATATTTGTATTTGTTTTTAAGGATCTTGGCCATTGTCCTTCTCAAAGTTCCTTAGCCAGACTCTTTTGAAGAAGTTCTCAGTGTGCTTGTGGACTAAGGTTTCCATGAGTCAGGTCCTAGCTTTGAGCACAGTGTCCCAGAGTTTCGTACTGGCTGGGACGGGAGCAGACGTGGAGGCGGGAAGGGGAGCTAAGTGTTGCAGTGGGAGGTACGAATCTGCCATCCCCTCCCCACCACGTCCTGGGAAGCCGCAGTGCTCCCTCTCCTGCTACTTACTTCTTCAGCATGAACGCAGGCAGACACCTGATCTGCTTCCTCTCTGGGTTGCTGCGAAGCTCTCATGACTTAATGGATATGAAAACACTTTGAACAGGATAAAGTACTGCACAATTATTGCATACCTTAACCAAAGTGATGGAGAGATGTTGATAGCAGAGGGAGTTATGCTGAACTAGAGGAAGACAAATGCATATGTATTCAAAACACATAGGGCACTGATCCTAACGGTTTTAAACGGCCCTAAATGTTTCTGACTTTGGAGAAGTGCCATTAACTTAACTCTGTGGGGCATGGCCCTAATGAGGCCAGGGTCATGCAGTAACCTTCGTGTCATAGAACATTTGCGGTGCTATGACAAAAATAACCATACCCTTGGTGGCTTATAAACAACAGAAATGTATTTCTCACAGTTCTGGAGACTGGAAAGTACAAGGTCACGGCTCTGGCAGATTTGGTGTCTGGTGAAGAAAGCCTGCTTCCTTGTGCTCCGTCATCTTCTTACTACAGTCACTAGGTGGGAGCTCTCTGGGGTCTCTTTTATAAGCACATTAATCCCATTCACGATGACTTAACACTCAGGATCTGACCCCCTCCCAAAGCCCCCACCTCCAAACATCATCACGCTGGGGGCTAGGTTTTAACATATGAATTTTGAGGGGACACTGTCTATGATGCTCTATCTGATCTAATAGATTTTTTATTATTAGTTTTTTTACAATCCTACATTGACTGAATTGACTTTAGTCTGTCGTGTATATGATCCTATTTCCCCAGCTGCGTTCAATTTATCAGAAATGTGAACTGTGTATGATTGATGATTATTAATCTGATGATTACGAATAGATTATCAGAGTATCAGAAAAAAATCAAGATATATAACCTACTAATGGAGAACCATTTTTACATGAAAGGGCAGCATATTCTAATATTTATGATGTAAAAATAATGGCCTCCTGGTGCTTTGGTTAGGCTTCTGGCAACTTGGGGGACATAGACAGGTAGCATCTAGGCACTGTGGTAAGTCCTTGGTGAAATCACGGTAAGTAAGACAGTCATGCTCCTTGCCTACTGACATTTCAAGTTTCTCAGCAAGCTTTTCTTATCTCATTTAGTTCCCTTCTTGTTTTGTTATGTTTTCCTTTCAGTCTGTTCTCTCCTTTGGGCTTTCCATTCCTGGGTCCTAGAGGTGAGAAGTGGTCTGTTCTGAGTAAGTTTTCTAAAATTTCCTTCTTCATTTCTGTGATGTGCTTCTTCTTTGAGTCTAAGTAGCGGGATTCTTTCCTATCTGTTCTGTGTTTTTGTTTCACTGGGTCTCCTGTTATTATTTAATGATTATTTCTTTGTTTAGAGTGTGTTGGTGATGCTGGTGGTGAAGTCTCTTTACTTACCCTTGACGGAGGAAGAGATGTTTAGTCACGGTTCCTACTAATGGTTGGATGTGTGCATCACCTGCTGGGTTCACTTGTGCACTGGGTCAGACACACTTCTCAGAAATTCAGTGAACACAGCTCCTAAGACCAGTCCTCAGCATGTGGCACGTTTCCTCTGAGGAAGTTCTGCTAGCCAAGCTGGGACCTTTCACTCCCACAGGCCAGGTTCTAACAGGTGTAGGAATTGAAACCTTACCTACAGCTCCCAGAATACACTGCTCCAATAGCTCTTCCCGTGTACCTCCCTCCCGGGGATTTACCTTCCAGAGTGCATGGTACTCCTGTTCTCTCACCAGCCCAGCCCATCTCCTGGGACTAGTTCTCTGGGAGTGACAGGTTCTTACTGGGTATTGTAAAGACTCCCCGATTTGGGTGAGGAGAGGTAGAGCTTGGAGGAAGAGGAATAGCACTTGGATGGCTTCAGAAATCAGCATTCTTGCAGGAGAGGGGATACGTCTTGGGTTTCTCATGCTACGTACCTTGAACCAGAGAGCAAATATGGGAGAAAGGAGGAGTGGTGTGTCTGCTTTCAGCCCAAGTGAACCATCAATTCTGTTTTGCCTTCCAGTTCCACTGCTTCATAAAGGAAAATCTCCCCAATTCTATCCAGAAATAGGTTGACTGTTGTCCTATTTTTTTCCCTAGAGTTGTGAATTTTAATTTTTTTCTGTGTTTTTAAAGGCATTTTAATTAAAAGTTGGGAAAGTCTATTTCAGGGCTGCTAAGTAGATGATATTTAAAACTAGAAGCTGAATACAGCATATTACTTCTTAATATTATAATTGTATTTATCATTTTCTCCCCCAACCTGTCTTCTTTTCTACTTAATGAAGTTCTTTGTTTTCTCTCACCACAAATATTATTTCTGTTAAATACTTTGAGCTTTTCTATTTCTATTTAAATACAATCAGAATGAAACTTTTTCTACTAGTCTAATATTTTTCCATAGTTAAACCTATTTAACTAAATCAGATTGTGGGTTTCCCCGCACCATTTTTGATGTATTTGAACCTACAACTGTTTTGAACTCTTAAGTTTAGAACGGATGGGAGATGCGCTATTGGACTCACTCCCCCCTTTCTAATCCCTGCTTTTTTTTTAATACTTTTGTGTCTTGGAAACTGCACCTTATTTTTTTCTTCTTTCCTTCTTACCCCTTCAAGTTCTCATGGTAAAGTGACAGTACAAAATTTGAATTACTTACTTTACTTTTATCTTTTTAGTGTGTGAGCAGGTAGGACAGGTTGAAGGTTATGCTTCTAAAGTAGTCTTTGATAAGTGACGATAACAGGCCCTGGACCTCGTCTCCATTTGCACATATTCCCTCGAGGCCTCTCCAGTCCCCCAGGTTTCAGTAGCATCCAGGCATGTTGGGCTCTCACCCAGCCTCTCCCCTAAACCCAGGCCTGCACATCTAGCTGTCTTACTCTTCCAGGTCAGAGAGACAGCTCACAGCTCAAGGCATCAAAGCAGAGCTCTAGGTTCTTCTCCTCTTCCACCCAAATTCCCCCTGGTCCTCATCTCAGCCACCCCGTTCTACCAGTCATCTAGCTAAAATCTTTCTCACATCATATTCAATCCATCAGCACATCCTGCCAGCTCTAATTCAAAAATACACCTGAGTCTGAGCACCGCTCACCTCTACCTCTGTCTCTACCATCACCTCCTGACTGTTTTTCTTACTTCTATTCTTGACTCCTCACAGTCTATTCTCTGCTGAGAGGCCCGAATGATCCATCTAAAGTGTAAATCAGATCACGACCTTGCTCTGCTCCCTCCCTGATAGCTCCCCATCTCACTCAGAGTGAGATACGCAGTGCTCTCCATGGCCAGCAAGGCCCTGTGTGACCTTGCCCGTGGCTCGTCCTCTTTATCTCTCTCACCCCTTACTGTTCTTCCCCCAGACACTTGCGTGGCTCAGTCCCTCCTTCTTTTAGGTCTGTTCAAACATCCCTTTCTCGGCAGAGTCTTTTCTAATCACCCTATTAAAGTAACACCTTCAGTCACCTTTGACCTCACTTTGTGTTTCTTTGGAGCACTTGACACATTATGTATTTATTAGTTTATGTGTTTACTGTCTGTCCTCCCATTATTTTATTCACTGCTATATCTTTAGTGCTTAGAAGAGCTCCAGGCCCAATCCATATTTGATGAACGTATAAATGAATGGATCCCAATTCATTAGGTTTGCATTTTTCA